ATAGGACAACACTGGGCTTGTACGTAATGCTCCTTTCAATTTTCTAAAAGCGGAATCGCATTCTTGGGTCCAATTGAATGTTGATTTTTCTTCCGTTAATCGATGAAGCGGAGCAGCTATATTGGCGAATCCTTCTACAAATCTTCGATAGTAAGAACATTATCCTAGCAAACTCGTCAGTTCATGTTTGTCGCGTGGTTTTGGCCAATCCCTGACAGCATCTATCTTTCCTTCCATAACTTGTATGCCATCTTCAGATACCACGTGACCTAAGAATTCCACTTTCTTTTGAAATAGAAAACACCTATTATTTGGATTGATTTTTAAGTTGGCATTCCGGAAGCGGTCAAAAACTTCTTTCAGGTTATTGATTTGATTTTTCAGTTATTTTTTGAGAACTTTGAAATTTTCTATTTTGTTCACTTGATTCGATCAATTAATTCTAAGTCTTGTTTCACTCGATTTTATACTCCAATTTCTATTTGACATTACGATTTTTGAGAACATATTAGAAAGTTTATGAGATATATGGGTGAACTTTGTCCTGATCCTGTTAAAATAACTCTTGAAGCCACTTCCCATTGAATTCAGAATATTACGTCCTTTTATGCACGATCGGGCAGTAAATCAGCTAAAATTATTTAGATATTATATTCACCCAACAACTATATCTACATATGTATATTATTACCAAAATCGGTGTGGATAACCATGAAAAATAAAAAAGTTGTTGATTTTTGGGAGATTTACATATACAGAAGTCTCCAATTTTTCAGTGGAAACGCGCTTTTATATAAAGGAGAAGACTGTTTATTTTTGAAAACATTTCAAAAATAAACAGTCATGCCATTATAGAGGTATAGTGATTTTATTTTTGGCGTTAAGTGTCGTTAACAACCCTCGAATATTGAAGTCGGTCTTCAATTACTCTCGAGTGGTAATAAATGACACTTACCGCCTTTAATACATAAATAACTATTAGATAATTGCGAATGGCAAAACTATATTTTCTGTGGTCTTTCCGCAACCTTTTGATAGCTACTTCCTATTGTTACTTATATGGGTTCGCATATAAGTGAGACTACTTTTTCGAACTTTAACGAGTTTTATTAAACACAATAACATAAAAATCACACGAAATTTAACACTACTTTACACTCCGAACTACTCCAAATAAAGCTTAGACGGCACGATTATTTTCGAACGTGTTTATTTAGTTCCTGACTTTACAGTTTACTTGCACTTGCGTACGTCAATCAGATCTAGTCCTTACGCGGTGCGCACCGGGGCTTTTATATATTTAAGTGCGTCCTTCTCTAACACGCTCGAATTTTCGTAATTCAGTTCATCTTGAAAATAATCGAATTTTCTGGCTTCTTTAACTATAGTTACAGGGGGCAATCAAAAAGTACGAGTGGCGGGTTTATAATACTATTTAATAATGAATACCCACCTTAATTTACGTCTATTTCCAGAAAACTCCCTTTTCGCATGTTAGGTGCTTGCAAAATTGATACTCAATTTCTCCGGGTCATTACAACTTCATACGCTCTTTTTATTTCTTTCTTTGGAACCCAATATGGCTCTGACGGGTATTTGCACGCCTATAACTTGAGGGATATTTAATCTAAGTGAAGCTTTGAATGGGACTCTTGTAGAAACAAAAGTCACATTTAGTGCTCGACTAAGCTGGAGCATCCCCTAAGTTATAGCCGTGCAAATGACTATGAATAACTTCTCTTTGAACTGGTGCCGATTCGCCTGTGGACTGTTCGTAGTGTCATGTTTCTAGTGAGCGGTTGGATTGCCCGAGACTTGACTAATGTTCTCCTAATCATAGAAACTTTAGCACCTTTATCAGAAGTGATGGTTTCAAATTCTCCATTAATTTGTCCTTCGAATTTTAAAACTCTATAATGACCGCCCAATGATTTTATATAAACAACCTTGTGGGGTTCGTTATTACTAACCAGCATTCGCCCCTCCGCAGTGATTGGTTTCTGTCTATTATTAGGGCTGACGTTTTTAGATCTTGAAAAGCGTTGGAAACGATCCCTAGATGAAAAGGACATCCTTACTCTACAATCCCATTGCATATGTCCAAGCTTATGGCACCGGTAACATTCTACTCGGTTTCTCGGTGTTGGTGTTTGTCTGGAGTCGTTTCCCATTTGTCTTCCTTCTAGTAATAGTTTCTGCATGAACTAACTCATAACATTGTCGAAGCTACCATTTTGTTTTGACGATTGTTTATCCTTTGGGTCTTCAATGGATACTGCTCGTATTATCGGTCGTGAGGCACCAAAGATATCTTCCAGTTCCAATGCTCACACAAGGGCTTCGCTACTTTTTCTGAACTTAGATATTCTCAGGTTTTCCTGGATCTTGGAATCTCTGAGACCATCAATAAACGCAGATACCTACTCTGCTATCCATTCCTGTGCGTCTTCCACAGCTGCAGGAAACGCCAAACTTCGAATTCTTGTAAAATCTCGCCGGGTTTTTGAATTCTTGATTTACTTGAATTCTAAATACTTCTTGTTTATAATGGTCTCCGAAGCGCAATTCTAACGTCTGACTTAGATGCTGGTAATTCTCTTGGTAGATTGAAGGAATGGACTGAAGAGGGTCTAAGGCAGGTCCTCGTAGCGCCTCTATCAATGCTGTAGCTTTCTCTTGATCGTTCTATCCGTTGGTATTTGCAGCAGCTCAAATTGTCGGATATACATGGTCCAGGACGTAGAATCGTCAAAAGTGGGTGGTTTTATCTTCATACTAGAGAATTCTCCAACACTACCTGGATTGATGGATTGTATTTCTAATTTATTCACCTTATCTTCAAGTGCTTGAGCTTGGTTCTCAACTTCTTGTCTTAATTGCTAGACATTGCGTTTTAAACTTCTTGAACATCGTCTTTACCTTCGGCTTTTACTACCTCAATCCTTTGTTCTAGGTTAGCGACAGTTCCTTGTATGGTTTGAAATATTTTTTGCAGTTGACCCAAGGTCTGTTTGTCGTCCTTGTTGTTGCCTAGCCTTTTCTTGTTTTCGCCTATCTTCTTCTTGTTTTTTTTTGTCGTTTAGCTTCTTCTTTTTGTTTTTTTTTGTCGCCTGGCCTCTTCGTCTTGTTTTTCTTGTTGTCGTTTAGTTCCTTCTTCTTGTTTTTCTTTTCGTCGCCTGGCCTCTTCGTATTGTTTTTCTTATTGTCCTTAAGCTTCTTCTTTTTGTGTTTCTTTTTGTCGTTTGGCCTCTTCATCTTGTTTTTCTCGTTCTCGTTTGGCTTTTTCGTCTTGTTTTTCTTGTCGTTTGGTCTCTTGAAGTTCCAACATTTTGCGCAGAAGTTCTTCAATTTTTTGTTCTTCCACTTCTGCTTGTTGTTTCGTAATAACGCATATACAGAATGTTCTGGAATTACCTCAAAATCTCTTCAAATATCTTTCCTGGTTTTTGATTGAAGATCCAAATACGTCGGTGAAGTCACAAATTGGATAACTTGCTTTATTCTCGAACAGCATGTTCTAGAATTTTCTTGAAATGTTTTTTTCTGAATGCCCGATTGATATAGCAAATACGTCAGTGAAGTCACAAATTCGATGTCTCGCTTGGTTCCCAAATAGAATTTCCTAGAACTTACTTACTTGAAAATTCACTATCACAGTCAATATCGGTTATACAGTCAGGTAAAGTCTCTTCTTGTGATTATCATTGCTTACACTGACTTATTGTCCCAGTGTTCACTTAGTGTCCACACTATTCTGCAATCGGATTTCACTTTACAGTCCTCGAATAATATCACACTTCTGACACCAATGTCAAGGCTCTGGGGTGCGTGACAGAAATTTTGGGTTCGTTTATCCAAAACTCAAAGACCAATTAACACAAAAATGACTTATTTCACGTTACCATACACTCTGACACTAATTAGTTCACTAATAAGTCAAACAACTTAACTCTTCACAACTCTTAAAAGGCTCCACTACAGGCAAAAAGCTATTTCGTCACAGACCGCGAGACGAAAGTTCAAGAAAAGCTAGACAGTTGCGAAATGCATTTTTAAGCTTAATGAAACACAAAACTACAATAAATCGTTTCAACGCTGCATCAAATAATTTTAGTCAAAAATGCATCAAATTAGTGCTCACGAAAAACCAAACTACGGCGTCAATAAAGCAATAACAGACTTCATTTTTGGAACAAAAACTTACAAGGGTTCAACCTACCAGCCTACAGAGCGATTTTCCCAAAAAAAAAAATAATCATCACTCATATTTGCGTTCAAAAAAGAGCAAAAAAAGGCGATCTTCAGCAATATTTTTCTACAATAAATATTTAATATATCAAAAAAACGCTTTTGTAGGCTGGTTGTATAATCCTTCGTTTATATAAATTTAATTAGTTCATCTCGATATCTGGAGCAGTTTTTTTGTAGTTTGGTTTTTACGAAACGCTTACAATCCCCCACGTGTTGTGGCCCCTTAAAATACTCATTATCTTAATCATACCACAGCCAATCTTATACTTAAAACTACTAACTAATACCTGATTTATGTATCCATAATTTATTCTCGTAAAATCCAAAATTGACCAAAATAAACGCGATAGTCTTTTTTTCCGGAATAGCACTGTACATACAATCTAGAATTCAGCTATCCGCTTCTGTGCGCCCTGGCGGCGGCGCACGTAAACTTCTTTACAGTATGTAACAACCAATTATATTATTATAACAGCAGGTCATCTCTTGTTATTGCCAATCCCAACATACTGCTGCCTCTCCATCATATATCATTTTATTAAATTATGCATTTTAGCTCTAAATCCCATATTACTTTGCTTATATAATAAAATATCAAAACTAACAACACCAAAAGCCTTACTTAGGTGAACAAACATTGCAACAACGGTCTTTTCATTATCCAAAGATGTTTTTTTTTTTTGGTGACTGTGCTGATTTTCCATATTTATTTCTAAAAATTTTTGAAACGACAATGTACAGTTTCAGATATGGCTACACGTAAAGTATTGCCATCTACAAGTTGTGCATCTCCACAACCCAGTACTTCTACTTCTAGAATATTACCATCTGGCAGTTGTGATCCTCCACAACCCAGTTCATCTGGCGCCAGAAATTTTAACGCGCCTGGAACAAGTAGTATGAATGATGGTAAGTCGATAGGTTTCAATTTAATCCCATTGACAATAATTATTTCAGCCCCTTTTTTGAGATTTATTGAGCAGCCAGCCAACAAATATCGTTTCAGATATAAGTCTGAAATGCTTGGTACCCGTGATTGCCTTAAAGGTATAACCTCTGATCGCTTAGGAAGACCAACTTATCCTACTGTTGAGGTGATAAAAGAAATCCGATGTCCTCCAAAAATTAAATAATTGTTTATTTTTAGCTGGTAAATTACTCTGGAAGTGCCATGATAAGGTGCTCAATATATAATGTTATTAAAGAAGATTTTAATCCTCATCCCCATAAACTTGTAGTGGAATATGGCAGAGGGGAAATTGAAGATCCCCACCATCTTCGCGTTGGACCTGCAGAAGGATTTTTTGCAAGGCAAGGCAGTTTTTTTTTTTTCAATAAAAAAAAAATGCATTTTCTTTTTCAGGTTCGGGGGCATGGGGATCATACATACTCCCAGAAGAAATGTTGTGGTAGAATTGTCCAAGAAAATGTTAGTACTAAAAAAGGAATTAATTGCCAGATGTGAAGGTATGAGGAGGGAGCTTACAGCTAATGAAATAGAAGAGGTAATAGTTATATTCTGATGGTGACTATCGATTTGAAGCCAATACATACCATCTGAAAAGACCAAAACAATTTCTCTGCTGATAGTGTAATTATTTGATGAAAATATGATATTTTGCTACGCCTTATTAAACTGTCGAAATAATAGATAAAATGGATAAATGGAAAGAAAATAAACTATATCGTTATACAAATAATGTGCAGTCCCTTTATTTTTGCAATTCATTGGTGATATTTAGCTGCAAGAATGTGACAAATGCTAGTAAAATACCCCCAGAGTAATATCATGCTAATGCACAATTCATTTAAGTTGAATATTTCAAGTTAGTACTAGTGGTCGATTCAAAAGGCCACTGAATAAGACATTGCTCCTGAATAATTATTATTAACATAATTACTATTGCTTATTGGTTCTTGAGTTGGTTGGTGGTTTATTGGCTTCTAAATTAAATGCAATGGATAGCTCCTGTGCGAAAAAAAAAGACACGTTGGATTTGAGAGCTAAAGTCTGTTCAACGCTATCGCGATGTTACGTCATTATTACTGACGTCATAAAAAATAACTCATCCCTGTTCATATGTTAATCGATGTCAAAAATGTCAAATTACATTTTAACAATAAGGTATCAATTTAGGACATAGGGCACATTCTTTTTTTTCACCGGTGGATCCACCGATGAGCAGTTTATCTTTGTCTAGTTGATGGAAAATCGGGATGACTGTCTCATATTGAAAAATGATGAAAAAAAGAAAGCGCCAATAACGTTTATGGCATCAAATAACATGGCGTAACATTGCGATAGCGTTGGACAGACTTTAGGTGTGTTTAGGAGTTTTGCTAAATTATAGATTTATTTCAGATTAGGGTATTAGCAGTACGCAAGAGCAGAGACATTAATTTAAATGCAGTTTGTCTCAGATTTGATGCGTTTTTTGTTAGAAATGGAATTTTATATTCTATTTGTCCGCCAATTTTCAGTCACGGAATTATTAACCTGCGTAAGTAATTTTTTTTTTTCCGATATACAGCCAAAAGTATCGGTAAGTTCCTGAGTCTGAATCTAATTCGTATTTATATTCCATTTAGGATCCCCACTAACTGGAGACCTGAAGATTGTCCGCATGAACCGTTGCGTCAGCCACGCAGAAGGAGGGGAAGAAATTTTTCTTTTGGTTGAACGATTGACAAGTCGTAAGTGTTTGAAAACCTGTATTGCTAATCAGTACAGGCTCGTACAGATACAGCGAAAAAACGCGAACGAATTCGGTTTAACCAATACTGGAAAATACAAAATACCTACACTAAAAAAAAATATTAGTTTTTAAGCCAATATAAGTACTTATGCTGTAGGAGCTGGAACAACAAGCGGCATCTTTAGACACAGCGAATCAACCATTATTCCGAATTCCTCACGAGTTCGCGTTCGTTTACTGTATCTAGATGATCAAATTAGTGTGAAACTTCATACATTTTTGAAAAAAATGTTCAGGAAAAGAATATTAAATGACCCCCAACAATCCTATTTATATTTTTAGCAAATATTAGAATCAGATTATTTGAGCTGGATGCTGATAACAGGGAAGTCTGGGAAGCCTACGGAACATTTTCTGAGTTAGACATTCACCACCACTATGCTATTGTCTTCAGGTCTGTAATGTCTCGGTTTATATCACGAGCATACTTAGGTATATATTTAAATATTTTTCAGGACGCCAGCTTTCCGAGACCAAAATATCACACACCCAGTAATGGTGTTGATTGAACTAGTCAGGCCGTCAGACTTTGCTAGAAGTGATGTGAGGAATTTTTGGTATATTCCAAATATCCACGGAACTGGGTATGTGAAGCCACGTTCAACTATCTTCTAACAAAAATACGTAATTTCACGTATTTACATCTAATTTCAACACACAACAGTCTTTATGAAATGAAAGTGAAATGAAATGAAAATATCTTTATTTAAATTCAAATAAACTTATTTCCAAATCTACTATCAAACTAGTATGTAGTATAAATTTCCTTCCTATCATGTATGCCTTTAAAATAGTTCCAATTTGGACAGAAAGTCAATATCTATGAACCCTTTTAAAGCTTTATGTATGTGGCACTTAGTGATAGGTCTACGAATTATGAGGCCTCATAAGCTTGATAATCTTGACATCTTATCATACATAATCGATTTGATGGATAGTTTTCAACTTCAACTAAACTAGCTCTTGAAAAAGTGGGTTGCAAATTGAATTTTCCCGAATTTTAATATTTGATCACAGGTCAAAGATCAGTCAATTTATGAAATAAAATAGCTTCTAAAGGAACTCTAGTGTCTCAAAACAGTCTAATTGAACCATTCCTTATTTGAATTTTGAATATTTTGAACACTTTGGGACGCTGTCACTTCTTATTGAAATTTGAACATGATGTAAGATTTATGGGTGGTCTATTGTCTATTGGCCGTTCGTTCTCTGTGATTGCTGGTCGATCGCCTTGGCTAAAAGTGAATGTGTAACAGGCTAATCAAAATTGAACAGAACGTGTTAATGCCTGCTTATATATGGAAATGGATTTGATCGGCCAACATGGTTTCTCTTTCGATCCTTCTATGAACATTCTTAAATTTGGTAATGAAAAATTTGTCAAGTAGAATCTCAAGCCGTTAAGATCCTGGCCGCAAACCCGGTGAGGATTCCTGGAAGTACTGGAAAGATCATTTGCGGAGAATTGGAAACAAACCCTGGTTGCTGCCTTGGCCTAACACATCAATTTATTGGAAATGAACCAGAAAATTTTCTTGTTGGAAAGACTCCAGTAAGAACAGATGGAGATAATTAGGATAAGAATTTTTCTTCTGAAACAGTTAAAATAAAGGAAGGCGATGTTATTGGAACTCTCGAACCACTTAAGCAAATATCGAACTGTGACCTCTCAGATAGGTGACATTTTGTAAAACCGAAGTTGAATACGGACACCTTCATGCAGACCTTGGAGAAATCATTGAGACACCTCGATCCAGATAGACTTCAAGAAGCCACAGATGTCATCTTGAAAGAAGCAGACGTATTTGTGATAGATAATCAAACCGGATGGACCAGTTTAATTCAACACAAAATTGATACTGGATTGGCACACCCAATTAGACAACCACCTCGACGCTCGACGTATGCCAGAAGCTAAACAACAAGAAGTGGAAAACCAAATTGATAAAATGCTTCAAGATGGAATTATTGAAGAATCAAATAGTCCATGGTCTGCGCCAGAAGTATTGGTTACCTACGAAGAAAGATGGAAGTCTTAGATTTTATGTGAGCTACCGTGCGCTTAATGACGTCACCAAGTAGGACAGCTTTCCTCTTCCGAGGATAGATGATACATTAACAACTCTATCGGGCTCCAAATGTTTTTCCACCTTGAATCTCAAGAATCGATACTGGCAAGTGACAATACACAAAGATGACAAAGAGAAAATTGCCTTCGGTACCGGAAGCGGGTTATACCAATTTAACGTAATGCATTTCGGATTGTTTAATGCTCCAGCTACGTTTGAGCGACTGACTGATACATCCAGTTGGTGGCAAGGAATTGGAACATTTGCCTCAATTTTTAATGGCAGTTGTTTACGAGTCAACAGGTGAAGATCCAGCTAGAATCGTTTTCGAAAGAGAAGTCAAGTCCCCTTGCAAGTTAACCTTAAAGAGGAGGGCGCTTTCGCCAGTGTGTACAGAATCAAATTTGAAATCTAGAATTCACTGCCTTTTTCAGGAAAAGAGATTATCGCGTTCATTCTGGATTATACAAGAATGGATTATGGATATATAAAGGCCGGTATTAGTTAGTAGTTTTTAAGTTTAAGATTGGCTGTGATGCGGTTAAGATAGTGATTATTGTAAGAGTTGTAAAGAGTTAATTTGTTTGAGTTAATTAGTGAAGTAAGAGTTGTGTTGATTGATTTTAATTTTTGAATAAACGGACCCAAGATTTCGATCACGCAAGCTAGAGCCGTGACATTTTTATTTACTTTTGTCTTTTAATAATTTCTTGAACATCTTGTGAATTATTATTTATTTGAATCAGTAAACCTGAGGAAGTACATCTTTTTTAGCCAACGCATACAACCCTCACCAATAATAGAAATGCCACTTGAAGACATTACGAGAGCCCAACAATCTTTTTTTGAACTCAGAAACTTGGCTAGTCAGTCCCGAGTACGAGCCGGTCTAATGTTGAAAGATCATTTTCGCCAATATGAACAGCAAACGAGACAAAACAAGTGAGACTTGCTCTTGTTGATAGTATATTCCATAATAATTATTACCATTTCAGTATGTTACATGTATTTATTGCTCTAAATAAAAAACCTGAAGTCAAGTTCATACTGAACATGTTGCAATCATCCAAACAACTGCAACTGGCTAATGTTGTGAATGCGGATAATTTAACTCCGCTTCACTTAGCTGTAATGTGTCACAACGAAGATTTTGTAAGATATTTGCGGACCCTTCATGCGGATCCGACAATACAAAATTCCCGAGGGCGCACACCTTTGCACGAAGCCGCCAAATCTGCAGCCACACCGAAAATGTTCGAGTTGCTCCTATCCTTCGAAAACACTATGATTGATATTGTAGATTACGGTAAAGATGATTAATGTGTTGGTAAGTAATTTTTCTATTTTTTTTTTTTGCAGCCGGTTTCACAGCCCTAACACTAGCCATAGAAACTACCAATATGACAGCAATAAGGGCATTGGCTAATGCAGGAGCAGATGTAAATAGGCGACATGATAGAAATGGACATACACCACTTAGAATTGCAGTGGAACATGAGTTTGTAGAGGCAGTGAGATATTTTTTGGATCATCCAAGGTTCGATCCAAGAGCGCAGAACGATTTTCAGAGGGTTTCTGCGTTTCATGCTGCCCTATTAAAACCGTCGGGCCCTGAAATTATGGTGTGCATTAAAAGTTTCGCAACAGCTAATAATATAGAGTTGCAGAGATCCTCATAATACCCTAAAACGCCTCTGTTTCGATGTTCGTGAAACACCCTGTATTTCTTGTCTCGATCTAATAGCCCAGGCACTGGCGTAGCCAGGATTTTGTCTTGGGGGGGGCAAATTTGCAGGAAGTGTTTCTTGTTGGTTCATCGCCAGTGCTGCCGAAGGCAAAGCGCCGCAGTCGCGAAATTTTTGGATGCCAGCCGTTTTTTTGGGTCTTTTAACAGTATTTTTGGGACCGTTTATTTAAATTTTGAAGCATTATCTATAAAATTTAAAGATCTTGGGGGGGGCAAATGCCCCTCTGCCCCCCCCCCTGGCTACGCCAGTGCCCAGGCATAATAGCTCGAATTTCACCAAAACCTAGAAAAAAATAATGTAAATCTGAAAATCGGCAAGACTAGTTAAATAAGTGTCCTGAACAACATACTAAAAGTCCTAAAGCAAAATATGCCGGCTTAACGTAATTTTTGACAAAATAAAAATAAAAAAGTTGTTGCCGTTACAATAACGCATATAACTTTGCTATTAAGGCCCTATGGATGTAATGATACTTACCGACTGAGTTTATATTATTTTAGCTAAAACTGCGTATCAAGGAATGAACGAAAGACGTGGCAACGTCGCTAAACTTAACATTGAGGCGTACTGCAGACGCAGACTGTACTTTCTGGCACTTGGAGATTGTTAGTGATCTGACTGCTTCAGCATTTTTAAACTGCTTTAAGATATTTACAAGACGTCGAAGTTCATGCGCCAACATTTATTCCGAGAACGCTACAAATTTCATTGGTAGTGATAATGAATTAACATCTCTTTACACATTTTTACAAGATATCTCTACTCAGATGCATTTCTCAGAATATTTTTCTGAGCAAGGCAATATAAAGTGGCATTTTATCCCGCCACGCTCACCTCACTTTGGGATGTTATTGGAATCGGTTATAAGGGCAGCTAAATTATCATATTAGAAGAGTGATAGGTGCAAAAATTGACATATGAGGAGTTTGAAACGATCCTTGTACAGGTGGAATCGTGTTTGGATTCCAGGCCAATTACCCTCCCCTCAGAGGATCCTAAAGACCTAAATGTCCTTACACCATTAGTTCTTCACTCAGCGCATTACCTCAAAAAGACTTGCAAGATGTTAATATCAACTTGAATTTTTAGTCATGTAATGTGCAATAAACGCCATTGTACCTCTATTTATTGACGACCTCTGGAAAAAAGTGTTCGGTATTGATAAATCTGGCACTTGTAATATTGATCCACATTTATTACTCAATTTCCCAGAAAAACTTTTTAATGGATCTACTGCTACCCGCTCATCGTTGTCGCAATTAGATCCTGGAGAATGTGGCGATAGAAAGTTATATTTATCAATCTTTGAATGAGTTAATAAATTATTGGCATGCGGGATTAATATACAATATAAAATAGAATATCTCTACCAAATTCCAGATTTACATTATTTTTTTCCGGGTCAAACCCTAATAGGACTGGCCTATAAATAAATAGGCTCTATATTCATCAATTCATTTAGGTCTGAATGTTTTCAAGGCCTCATAGAGTGTTCCTACATTCATGGCCGGATTAGGCTTTCATGGGGCCCGGGGCTAGTGAAGTTTTAGGGGGCCCTTTATAAATTTGGTGCAAAAAAATATATATAATAGTATATTATGCAATGATCATGTAATGATAGCCATTAATACATGAGCATGTTGTAGGATACGAAACGAGCCGCAGGCGAGTTTCGTATATAACATGCGAGTGTATTAATGGCCATTACATGAGAGTTGCATACACTATTTTTTCTACTGCCATTGATAAACCTTATGATATTTAGATATGTCAATATTATGCTTAAGTTTGAATAGAGACTTTATAATTGAGTAATCCATACAGTTGGAGGTTTAATTTTTTGTTGTATTTCTTCAAAATATATTATCAAAACATTTTCTGAGAAGGACGATGTGTTTTTGGTGTTTCCAATCCATAAATTTTCCATATAATTTTTCGTAAATTTTCTTGGACTTCCGGTAGTAAATTATTACCTGCATTTGTCGCCCTTTCTGTAATTTCTGGAGGTGTTGTGAAAATTCTTCGTTATCACTCAATATTTCCATAATAATAATGCCTTATCCCAAACATTAGGTGACTTTTAATAACAATTCGAAGTATTTTTTTCATACCATGGAAAAGCTATAAACAGAGTGCTGTCAACATTCGAAAAAAAAATAATTCAAAATTTCTTTACTGGTGGCGCCATCTATTGACAATGTATAATAATGAAAAAAGTAAAAATTCTTCTTTATCACTCATTATTTCCATAATAATTATTCTTTGTCCCAAACTTTAGGTAACTTTTAAACAATTCGAAGTCTTTTTTATAGTTGTCAAAATAATTGTTTTACGCAAAATTACCGTTTAAAATGTTTAATATCTTAACTGGTGGTGCCATCTATCGACATTGTATAATATTAAAAATCTGTATTAAAATGAGAATCTGTATCATAATGAAGTTCATTATGATACAGATTTTAATCGTGTAATAGCGTATTATGAAATGTCAGTAGAAAAAAAAACTATATTCCTGATATAACAGAAAACACCGCTATATAGGATTTTTACGCTATATTTAGGATGACGTCACATTTAGTAAATTTCTGCTGCCAACCTAACAAAACTAAAAGTTCTTTTAAACGCATTTAAAGAAGGGGAATTTCAGATGTTTTTGGTTGACAACGGCGCGCGACGTTGCATGACTTGTATAAACATTTTCATATCGTTATTTTTAACTGTCGTCAGAATTATTGACACATGACATTCTGGTAAATTATAAGAAAAAAAATAAGCATTGACAACATTGTCTTTCCTTGATCGATGACGTCATCCTAAATATAACATAAAAAACCTATACCTACATGTTTTACAAAAATAAGTGAAAATATTTTTTCTTACAACTGCTTCTGAAATTTGACTTTTTCACACGCTATAGGCAACCTCTGAAAATAGAGTTTTTCGCACAGCGTGCAAATAAGTTTTTCACACGTTGCTTATTAGTTTTCTATTTATTTTGGTCCTATCCAGTGTTGCCAGAGAACAAAAATTTTTTGTACCAAAATTAAAGACAAATTGTACCAGATTTAGTAAAAATGTACCAGCTTATAATGCGCATGCGTTTTCTGAAAATGAGGATTATTTTTGATCCAGTAGGATAAAAGCACGTTTTGTTTTGATTTGATGAAAACCTTAACCAAACACAAACTACGTCAACCAAGAACCACAAAACGAGTGTTACATTGGTGGCGCCATCTATTTACGAATCAGAAATTATTGATATGTCGCGAATGGTACCAAATCTGGTACAATTGTACCACCTCTGGCAACACTGGTCCTATCATCAATTTCTGATGTTGGATATTGATGATTTGTTTTCTAATAAATAAAAATTATAGTCTAGGAGGCAGTGGCGATTTTCGGCACTTATTTTTCCAGTCAGACAACATTGATAGAATTGTAGGGTTAGTAATTCTAAGCAAAATTAATATATTTTTAGGGGGGGTTTTCCGATGGGTTGAGGCGCAAAATGCGTTAGAGCCTACGAATGCACGTTTTGTATCATCAAGAGAACAAACTATTTAATATAGGTACACCAACTGGGAAAATAAGTGCTAAAAAATTGCACTGCCTCCTGGACTATTACATATCTGGTTGTTTTATTTTGCAGTTGTAGGAGTCAGGAGAAGCATTGTAAAAAACTCGTTTGAAAACCTTTTTTCACACTCGCTCGACTTGTGAAACTCGCCTACGGCTCGGTTCAACAAACTGCCTCGCCGTGCGAAAAAAGTCGTTTTCAAAACTTGTTGTTTAAATAACTATTTTCGTAACTTAAGTTTAACAAATTCTTGTATGACATCAGTAAATTCTAATTTCTTCAGAACGTCTCTTTCTATGCACATCAAAGATCAATGTTAATGAAGACGGCGCGGCGTTCCTCCGTCAATGGTTCCTCCTGCATTGTTGTTCTATATTTATTTTTAATGTACCTAAGCCAGTTTTGGAAAGGAACGTGAGGAGGCTGAAAAATAATGAATTACGGTAAGGTAACCACTGCGCAGCAGGCAAAATTTGTTTTGGGGTGCCCATGCCCTCAGTAATTTATCTCAAATTCAATAAAAACCATGAATACTCGAAAAAAATGTTCCTTTTCTTCATGTAAGTATATATTTTCACTGTTAATTTTGACGAAAAATAAAAAATAAAAAATACAAGGAAGGCACAAATTGATAATTATAATTAATTACGATAATAATTATGTACTTTCTGCAACAAGATGCAAAATCGCACAATAATTTACAATGCACCTGATGCAGAAAAATATCAATGAACTATAATTCTACAACTTCCGACTAGAAAAGTAACATTATGGAACTCTTACTCTTAATGCATAAAACACAGATAAAAAAAGAGAGGATGGCCGTTTTCAACTATGCGTGCGGCTAGCCGCTCGTCGAGACTATGGTCGCTGAACGGCAGTAGTGGTTCGATATATTTTCGGCATATTTATTAGACGCTCAGATCCGCGGTCAATTTGAATACTAGATTTCAGTGAAGCATGTGAGAGTCTAGCCTCCGGTCGACCTCTAATGTCAGAATAATTGCAGGACAGGGATTCTGACAAAGTGCCCTTATGTCGGGTACCCAAATTTTTTTTCTGGTCAAAATCGAAGTTTCCTTTCTCATTTTTTCCGGCCTTAAGATGCGCCGTAGCGAGGAGAGTCAAAAAAACTTTTTTTCGGAAAAAAAATCTACGGGGATAGCCTTCCAATTTTTTTTATTTATTTTCAAAGTGACCTAACTCGAAAACAAAAAGCTCGGGAGAAAAACTTCAAATTCAAAACTTGTAGATCTCGTCAAATACTACAAAAAACCCTATGAGAAGTATCCCTCCACGGGGCACCGTTTTCGAGAAAATCGAGTTCGAAAATTTTAACAAAGTTACAAAGAATTTCAACTTTGACGGCTGATATCTCAAAGACGAGAACGGCTTGGAATCTCGATAAAAAAATATTTTGTAGGAAATTTCATTCTCTTTCAAAAGAGATCGGTTGAGAAATAGCGGAGCTGTAAGTGAAAAAGTAGCTTCGTGTCGGATAATCACAATTTTTTTCTGGTCAAAATCGACATTTCCTTTTTTATTTTTTTTCGGCCTCAAGATGTGCCATAGCGAGAAGGATCAAATTAACTTTTCGACGTATTTTTTGGTCCTCTATCCGATAGATTTTTTTTTTTTTGAAATTCAAAATTTGATTTTTTTTCGACAAAAAAATTCAAAGATAAGCCTTCGATTTTTTTTTTATTTTCAAAGCGTCCTAACTCGAAAGTGAAAAGCTCGGGAGAAAAACTTCAAATGCAAAACTTATAGATCTCGTCGAGTACTACAAAAAAACCTATGACAAGGATCCCTTCACGGGGAACCCTTTTCGTGAAAATCGACCTCGAAAATTTTAACAAAATCACAAAAAATTTCAACTTTGACGGCTAATATCTCAAAGACAAAAACGGCCTGGCATCTCAATAAAAAAATATTTTGTAGGTAATTTCATCCTCTTTCAAAAGAGATATGACTCGAAATGATTGGTGAAGAAATAGCGGAGCTATAAGCGAAAAAGTGGCCTCGTATCGGGTACCCACAATTTTTTTCTGATCAAAATCGAAATTTCCTTTTTTATTTTTTTTCGGCCCTAAGATGTGCCGTAGCGAGGAGGGTAAAATTAACTTTTCGTCGTATTTTTCGCTCCTCTATCCGATAGAATTTATTTTTTTTTTTTGAAATTCAAAATTTTCAGGGGGTAGCCTTCGGGGGTAGCCTTCGATTTTTTTTTTTTTAATTTTCAAAGCGTCCTAACTCGAAAACGAAAAGCTCGGGAGAAAAACTTCAAAAACAAAACTTATAGATCTCGTCGAGTACTACAAAAAAGCCTATAAGAAGTATCCTGCCACGGAACACCGTTTTCGAGAAAATCGACCTGGAAAATTTTAACAAAATTACAAAGAATTTCAACTTTGACAGCTGATATCTCAATAAAAAAATATTTTATAGGTAATTTCATTCTTTCAAAAGAGATATAACTCGAAACGATCTGTTGAGAAATAGCGGAGGTATAAGCAAAAAAGTAACGTCGTGTCAGATCGCTGAAATTTTTATCCGGCCAAAATCGAAATTTCCTTTTTTAATTTTTTTTTGGAAAATGTAATTTGTGAAATATTATTTTAATTAGGAATCAGGAATAATAAACTGAGATTGAATTTTCAATTTTTTGGGGGAGGATTAGCCTCCCCTGCTTCCTCTGACGAGCCTCCACTGATTGTTAAAATAGTGTGTGTACACATTCGGGAACGTATTAAATAATCGATTTTACAAATTCAGTTAAATTACCATTTAAATCATCTTTGTAGACTTTTCTTACTTCTGTTGAAAATTCTTCAATTTTTGCTTTAGGTAAATCAGAATTAAATTTTGATATTAATCCAAAGAACTCACTGAGATCTGAATATGCGAAAGACTAGTGCATTTAAATTTATATTGTTTGCTCACGGGCCCTTAACCAGCATACCTCAGCGCCTCAACGTGCGTTTTTCAAAAGTAGGGCTCTACTGGACCGCGGGGCCCGGGGCTCCAGCCCCTTTAGCCCCCCCACCCTTAATCCAGGCATGCCTACATTATCAGCCATTTCATCAGGATCCAGGACTGGGACTCTGTAACGAATAAAGATATTTTTTTTTTTTGAAAAGAAAGAAGAAGACAGCAAGTGCCATAGCGATAGGGATAACGATCTCTATCCGTTACAGAGTTCCAGCCCAGGTTCCATATCAATCTCAATTACCCAAAGCAAAATTGAAAGAACTTATTCTCAGAGTAACACTACATAAATAGAGAGGGCAAGTCATTCATAAAATCACTTAGTTTCTGCGGCCAACGGCCAACAATCCTAAACCACAATAGTGGATTAATGAATGAACTACATGGAGTGGGGATAAGATTGCGGACAATCCGGACCAATTACAAACAAAACCCTTTTGACATTTCTTACTACGAATACTAGGGCGCATTCGCGATTATGGTCGGGCTTGCCCTAATAATATTTGCATCCTTCTTTATCTGGTTATCTTAACAAAGATAAAATGATTCAGGTGGGCGTTTTAGACGAATACAACCAGGTTCCGAGATTTTAGGCAGTGTTGCCATTTTCAGCTAGCACAAATTCTTATTCAAATTTTATTGTGATAATAGATTTATTATTTTATATAATAATTATTCCTATTCATTGGAAAACACCGCGATATTTTATGTTATAATTGTATATACATACACCTATCTAGGTTTTTATAATTACGATTTTTTTTTTCAATTTCCAATTCCATTTTCCCTGCAACTTAGGACAATTTATAAATATGGCACATCTGCACCCACTAAACAATGTAATATCGCTTTAATATTTAAGTAATGTTTCTAGATAATATTGTAATATTTCATTTTTTATTGCTGCTATATAAGTGCAAGGTTGCTGCAATTACTGAAACGGACTTATTCTAATATTCACAAATGCAATGTTTACAAAATATACTTTTCTGCAATATCGCCTCAATCTATTCATAAAAAATACATTATGTTTGTAACATTTAAAATGCTAGCGTACAGAAACCTGCATTTAACGTTGTTTATAAATTCCGAAGAGCGAATCTTGATCTTGATCTTGTTTATAAAGTTTTATAAAGTTAGATAAATATTACAGACGCAATATTTTTATTGGTACCTACTTTACAGAAATTTACATAATAAAATATTGTATATGATAGATATTTAATATATCGTGAGGATTTGCATTATTGGAAGATCCTTTATTTTGAAATTCCCTTTTTTTGCCAGTCTAACTACAGACTGGGACACAATGGTCAGTTAATACCTAAACTTCCAATTCCCAATTGATCTTATCACACATGCCTCGAGTCTTCCAACATAGGTATTGTAAAAAAGCCACCTAAAATTAAAAATTAAACAGTATTAAAAAATCACAAAAAATTAAAATTTTAAAATCTTACATTGGCTTTATTCTTTCCCTCTCCCAGCATCTCAAGATCTTGATGAATATTTTCGTCCTGTTCAACTCTCTGTTATTATTGTCAGACCAAGAAAAAGAAACGTCGTCTGCGTTCTCCGACTGATTTTTCAGTTTTTGGTGGCGTGGCGTCAACAACTAATAACAAATGGGTGGTGCGTCTGCGTCGTTCCGAATTTCCAAATAATTGTCCCATCCTTGTCAGTCAAATATATTTTTGCATGACAGAGACAAAAACAGCAGATTGCAAATAAAATCTATCTGCAAGTTTTATGCAACATTGAGAAAACTTATGTTTCCTATTCCAAAGTTAATGTTGAAATATTTATGTAACGTTTTTTATTCTTAAAATGGTTAACGTACGCATGTAAAAGTATCTGCAATATTACATCGACAGTTTTAAGAAAAGTTGAGCTTATAAGATTTATGCATCCATTTATTTTAATATATTTTTTTAATGTTACAAACGTAAATATTTCCGCAAGATTAAAGCGACAGAGTTGAGAAAAGTTACATTTTATAACATTGTTATAATATTTGCTTTACTTACATTTTATAATGTTTCAAATGTAATACATTATTGTATCTACTCTAACATTTACTTTATAACTAAAACAAATGTTTCTCTATTGAAGTTATATTAAATTTATATCACTTTACATTGGATAAGTAATATTTTAGAAAGCTTGTCGTCACATTACCCAATAAATTTTCTAAAGCAAGGTCAATACAATATTGCCGACAAATTTTGCAACATTACATGTTTAGTGGGCAGTAAATGTCCGCAAGTGATCTTATAATGGGAATCAATGTTTGGGGCATCTTTTAATCATAATAAACCTATCTATTTCATGTGTTTATTTGAGAACTTATTTAATGACTAGTTTTCAGTAATTATCAACTGAACTACTGATATTCTGCTAGTACCAGTTATTGAAACTGGGGCTAAACCAAAAAAGCGCGTTTAGTTTAGCCTCAGTTAGTGATTTAGCAGTTGCAAAGACTTATTTCATTAATAGAATTACCTAAATTAAGTTTTTCCTTTAGTATATACCTTTAGCGTAAGTTTACTCTAAGAAATACTGTGATAAGAAAAAAAATTGATATAATTGCATGCAATATAATATGTATCTATTTTTTAAAGTTTTGTTAATAATTATAGGTTTAAGTTTTGTATATGTGAATAAATCACCTAAAAGATGTGGTAGCTTTGTCTCTTTTTTTTACATTCCTGCCAAAAATTGACACTCTTTGGTGCCATTACATAAATATTGCGCACTTAGTAGGTAGGTACTTTTTATCTTCTCAGATTTTTTTCTCTGTTTTCTGCAGAAATTAAAAATCGTATCAATAAAGAAATTTTCTATGATCTTCTTGCTTCTCTAACATTTTTTTGGCTCTGGTAACACCGAGTAACAATATGTGTCTCTCTTCTAACTTTCATGAAGCCGATATGAATAATATTTCAAATTTCATTTGACTTCAAAGTAGAATAAGGTCGTAATAATACCTTTTTTACCTGTGACAAAACTTGTAAATTAAACAGTATTTACGTCAAAATTATTAAGGATTCAACAATGAAATATAATAAAAACAGCTATCGGGATAACAAATATCTTTAATAGAGACACAAAAACTTGCAACTTTTCCAAAAATCATAGAGAAAACAAGATGTTCTATACAAAAAACACTTTATTCAAGGGGAGGGGTAAGACTTTTCTTTTTAGTTCAAATCTTATTCGATAAAATTTTTGAGTGCTGCAGAAGAAAAGAAATTTGATGGCTGTTTTGAAATACAGGGAATGTCGAAAATATGCCCTTGTTCAGTCCTCGGGACAACCTACAACCATTCCTCCCAGCTAGTAAAGTAGTTCTATAAATCTAGAGTAATAGAACTTTTATGAAGGTTTTATGGTCGTATCTAGAATACTGAATTGTTGCATTAATGTAGCACATAATCCTATTTTGCCTTCAGGAACCGAATTGTTATTTAAATTTAGTGCAAAAAACCTTGAGGAAAAAAATAGAAACTCAATTTAAAGGTATTTTTTTCATATTTTTAACCCCTAAAGTGCCCTAAACACGTACCGAGTTTGAAAAAAAAATGGACACAATATTGAGAAAGACGATATTTTGAACATTTCAGCTCATTTGGACGGCTCCAAATCTTAGAATAATTGAGTGTATGGAGTTTCGGGGGTCCCGGATGATCATTTGGACACAAAATGTCAACATAATTTTTTTTGAAATTTCATCATTTCAGTACTTGGGTAGCTACTATTGTCAATCGAGTGTACGCCACTGGTATTATCCTGTTTCTGACAGCCCCCTCAATTTTCCCTGCTAGTATGAATTTAATCCCATGTAAAATTTTTGAATAATTGTCATCTGATTATAAAATTTTGTGTATTTTCGTATGAATCTCCCTTCGTAGGTCGATCGAGTGTACGCCACTGGTATCACCCTGTTTTTGACAACTCCCTCAACCTTCCCTGTTAGTATGAGTTTAATCCCATGTACAGTTTTCGAATAAATGTCATCTGATCATAAAATTTTGTATATTTTCGTATGGATCTCAATTCATAGATCGAACGAGTGTACGCCACTGGTAAATTGCGATTCATCGAAAAAAGGGTTTTTGTGAAAATATGGATATTTCCACCCTAGCCTCGGGAACAAATGTTACACGATGTTACAGGCAGTATCAATATACACCAGTTAGGGTAGGTACTTGAAAAGACTTGCAAATGTACCATTGAGGGTGGTTTAAGGGGGTAAAACTAATAATTGCGATTCATCGGTTTTTGTGAAAATATGGACATTTCCACCCTAGTCTCGGGCACAAATGGTACAAAATGTTATAGGCAGTACCAATATACACCGTTTGAAAACTTAAAAAGACGTGCAAATAACTTTTTAGGGTGGTTTAATGGGGTAAAACTAATAATTATAATTCATCGAATAAAGGGGTTTTGTGAAAATATGGACATTTTCACCCTAGTCTCGGGCACAAATGGTACAGGATGTTATAGGCAGTACCGATATACACCGTTAAGGATACCTAAAAGCCTTGCAAATAACTTTGAGGGTGGTTTAAGAAGGTAGAACTAATAATTGCGATTCATCGAAAAAAAGGGTTTTTGTGAAAATATGGCCATTTTGAGTTTTTCTCAAATGTCAAAAGTTTCTCCTTGATTCGCAAGCCTGTTCATTTCTCTTTTAAACAAGCCTTAACAAATGGAAATTGGTCAACAACAAAAAAAGTCACAGTTCAAAAAAAAAAAACGGTTTTTTTGGACCACCCTGTATGCTCTGTACAATATTATACATAATAATATTAATATAATGATGTATAATACAATGAAAATGCATTCTCATTTAA